GAATTTTTTTTATTCAGATAGCCAAGGAGATGAGGTTTCTCCCTCCAGCATTTCCTGAAAAATAATGCTGTGCATATCCTAAAGGCCCTGCCTTCACTACAACTGGACTCCCACCCTTGCATAGGATGAAATGCAGCACGTTCCACATCCCTCCCATTCAGATGCTTCCACTTCCAGCCAAGGTTTTCCCTTTACATGACGTACCAAAGTGCAAACAGACCTTGCCTCTTCCTAATTTTGCACTCGACCGACTGTAATTCGAAACAAAACGCCGCTAGCCACCATGGCCCTGGAGGTCTGGAAGTATCCTTCTGCCTTACCTGCTCAATTTGGCAGCAGGCTTTTGTAATGCAGGAGCTCGAGGCTTTAGAGACTGCCTTCTTAAATCCCACTTTACAGGATAATTTGGGGGTTTTGGTGGAGGGCTAGAGGGGCTCAGGCTGATGCTCAGGCAGTGCAAGTGAGCACCATGCCCTGCCTGAAAAGCCGCCTCAGGGCCGCAGTCATGGCTGACCTTGCCTGCCAGCCAGGCCCCCACACTACCACCCTCCCTTCAGGCACCAGAGGCTGCAGTCCCTCTTAAACCTTACTCATGATCCAGGCCAGGGCACAGCCTCTTAAAAGCCAGATGGGCCCCTCATCTGGGACTTGAGAAGAGAAGACTTCTCATGCATGTATTTCTTTTAAGAGCAAGCCTTGATGGCTCTCTGTGTCAGGCCCATAACCAAGTGCTGCAAGTAGGCCCTGCTGACAATTTGATGGATTTAAAATGTTGTATTTCCCTATAAAATTGTATTACGTTTGGCTCATGGTTTCTTTAAGTGTCTACTTCAAAAAACACACGGCTCAATTTGCTTTAAAATAAAAGAGGAAAATTGCCATAGGATATTTAACTTGCACAGTGAAAGGTTTAGGTCAGGCGAATAATGACATAACCACGGAATGCCTCAGCACAGGATGGGAGGCAAATAAAACTTGTTTCTTATTCTGGATTTTCAAATTTCTTCTTCTTCTTCTCTTTTATAATCAGGCTTTCCAGCGCTTCCCCTGCCCCCCCCGATTCAGCAAAATGTAAAAGCCTCAAACACAACGGCAGCTTCCCCAGCCACCAGAGCTTTGCTGTAGACTTGGGTGAGGCTTGAACGTCTCCAAACCATCGCCCTGCATAACCACAGCCGCCTGAGAGGCCCCATCCACACATGCCTGCGGGTGCGAGTGATCCAGCTCGCACGAGCTGTCCCCTGAATTCAGCTGCAGATTAAAACCAAGGGCATGCAAAACCGTAGGAGGACGGCAGAAGGAATGGTAGCAGCTTTAGCAACGGAACAAGGCAGCTATTCAAGGGTGGTAGATGGATCTGTAGCTTCATGTGGCTGTGTTTAACAAACACGCAAAATTACTTCATTTCTTAGGATAAACAGAGGATTTTCTTCTGGTAAAACAATACATGCACAAAAATTAAACCATTTCTCCAATCAAGTCAAAAACTTGTTGAATTCATAGCATTTGATTATTATAATATAATTTTGCCTACTTTAAAAAAAAGACACTAAATTCAGTAAATTCAGATCAGGGAGCAACTTGAAACAAAAGCCCCAACATCAGAGGACACAACACAGCTGATTTTCATCAGCAATATGCATATTGGAAAAGGAATGGAAACACGTACATTGTTTTCATTGTCAGGCAATGAAAAATCAATTATTCTTTAAATGAACCAAATTATTATTAACTGCAATGCATAAGGAATGGGAAAGATTTGGTTGTTTAAATGGTCGTGTTATTACACTGAGCTGGTATATCCACTGAAGCCCATACTTTCACAGACACTGTACATGGCTTTCTGTGATGTTTTAAGTCACTTATATTGACAATAATGTCTGCTCGAACTAATGGCCCTACATTTCACTTAAATAACTAGTTACATTGTGGTTGTAACAGTGAATAGATGAGATTGCAACATTTCAGTTAAATTCAGAGTTTGGATATAACCAGTGCTTCTGTGAACTGAAGACATCAAAACATTTTGACTTTAATAAATACTTGACAATATTTCTCAGGGAAAAAATAGAGCTTACAGAAGAAGAATAAATGGATTCATTACAGTAGCGTAGAGTGACATACAGCAATGATGCAAAGCAACAACCGTCCTTCCTTCCTACAGGTATCAAGACTCCACTACACGGTCTGAGCACATCACACATACCAATTAACCTCTTTTCCTAACACCTGTCCAAGAGAAAACAGCTTTAGTGACACTTTGGAAGAGGAAATGGAAGCACAAAGGCCCCAACACCCCAGATATTGAGGCTATTTGAGCGTTTAAACCTCCACTTCCACAGAGCAGAGATCAGCACGATGTTTTGGGGGGGATCCAGACAGAGGCAGTCCTCCCCAGGGAGCCAGCAGCCCAGCCCGGATGGACATGGAGCTCCTGGACCCCAGCATAACCCTTTCAGCACAAAACTACCCCTCCTCATCCGTCCACCTAACTCCCACCTGCATGAGGCTCCCCCCATCCCTTCCCACATGCCAAGTAGGTCTCCTTCCACCCATGCACCCATGGGCACAGCCCAGAGCAGCCCCACACACCCTGGATTGTCACATCCCAGCCCCACAGCCTTCTGCCTCCTCCCTAGAGCAGGTCTGCCTCTCCCAAGCGGTGGATGAGCCCAACAGGCATGAAAATCAAGACTGCTTCTACCTCCCCTCCACTTCAGCGCACAGCAGCAACACCTGTCACTCAGACAACACTGCCATCCGTCCATCCACCCATCAATGCAGTGCAATGATCAACCAGCAGGAAACAGTGCAGTTACTGTGTCAGCTCACAGCTTTTGCACACCTGAATAGCAACATTTGCATGAGGTTCAGATATTGCATGCAGTGGATTTGGTAGTTTCCGCATAGCTCCAGGCAATAACTGCTGCCATGAACAGATCCTTTGTTTTTACACTTCTTTATTGTTCTTTCTCATCTGCCCACAGACTGCTGTGCACCCCCAATTACACAGACCGCAAGCCACTAAACTAACTGCTGTGGCAACAGATGATAGCAAAGCAGTTAAGATGAGTCCGAGTCTGGAAGAGGTGGCTGCCTCAGTGAAGATCTGCCATGAATAAACACATAAAGCAAAAAAGAGAAGGAGATGGTAGTGGTTTGTAGCCATTATTATCTCAGGTTATAAGAGAAGTAAGGCTGAGGAAGAAGTAATTGATTAAAACAATACACAAATAAACAGGATAAGCTGTGACACGTGATGATTCTGAAGGCAAATGCTCCTCAACTACTTCTCTGAGCAAACCTCTCTAAAAGTCTCTAAGTAAACTTCAGTGCCATGTGATAGCATAAGCTCCACAATGCGACAAAATCCTGTATCTAACATCTTCACAGATGGAAGCTAAGTGGACAGTTACTGTAAACTATCATTTGCACTGGAAGCCTCTTCCTTCCTATCTGACGGTGTTTCACTACACTAGGAAGAAACAGTAGCAATCTTTCTGACCTAGCATTGTGGCATTGGGTTTGCACCACAAAGCAGGGATGTTTTGATGGCTCCCAGAACACCAAATGTGGTCTGGACCCTGTGGGAAAACTTGCTTATCCCTTTGGAGGCAAGGCACGTGAGCATGTGCTGTTCCCCTTATTTACTAACCACAGGGTCCATCAGTCTTCCCCAACTCCACCACCAACTCCTACCGCAGAGGACTAGGAAACCACCCCAGCTCTCCCCATAAAAGCTGGGCTGCCTCTCACAGTAGACACGGCCACCCTTCTTTGCAAACTAAATGTATCAGGAGGGGGAATGAAGAGGCAGCTTCCTTTTTTTGGAAGGCCAATAAAACTACAGGAAAAATAAACAAGTGAAAGCACTGCCTGGAAGACCATGGCTCCACACGCCAGCTATACCACGAAGGACATCCAGCTCATATAAACCAGATTAGTTCCTACTCAGAAAGATTGCATTTAACTATTAGGCTTGCTGCTGTTCTCATGAGCTCTCAATTGCTTCCAGACCGCTGTCAGCCCTTTCAGGGAAGCCGGACAAGAGTAAGATGGATTGAGACTACTATGTTGTTGCACCACTACCATCCAGTCAGGAAATTTCCATTTCCTCCTTTGTCTTTAATTATTAAGCCTGCTTTATGTGGAGAGAAAACATACCATATGCATTAAGTACATTCATCCCAAGGTCAGACTCCTCTCCCTTTCTGGCACAAGACTTTTGTTATACAAGCTAATAATCCATCTCGAGGTGTGCGCACACACACACACAGAGATGGATGGAGACTGATGTGCACTTATCTGGCCTGCACCCATTGCCAGTTAGGCAAGAGCCAGCTCTGGTTGTGGACCATGCAGCCACACCAGCCTCTCACGGGGCTTATCGCCTTAGCTGCGCTAAAGTCAGGGCTTCTGGAAACGAGCATGCGACTGCCTGCACCCGTTCACACATGGCAAGTCCCAGAGAAGGCCAAGAAGCTGGGACCTCAGCAGGCGAAGGCACACTCCCTGGTGCGGGGTTTGCAGCCGCAGGTCTGGCAGCCTCCCGGAGATGGCTGCAGAGGGTTTCCGCGTAGCAGCACTTCAGCTGCATTACGCACCAAATTTATTATCCCTATCAGACTCGCCGCTTCTTCCCTTTGGGCAGTGTCAGTGGAGGAGAATTTCTTCTTCTGCTTCCAGAAAGTGAAGGAAAAAATTTACAAGGATGACTGCAATCGTATTTCACAGCAAACCTCAAACAACGAATCCCTCTGCATGACGTACCACAGCTATCCCTCTCTTTGAGCTTGTTTTATTGAAACCTAAAAGATCCAGGAGTAAACAAATGCAGCCATCCCTCGTGATACTTTGATTTCACATCTGATATGGGGGGAGAAAAATCAGTCCCAAACCTCCAATTTTCACTCTAGCATGGAGTGAAACTAAGCCAACATCGTACTGCACCAGCCCTGCCAACTTTCCACTGGCTCCTCTGCGTGTACTGGGCCCACACATTTCTATTTTCTAGCAATTCCTGGCAAATATCCTGTCAGATTAGCAGCAGTTTTACTCCAAAGACATGACGCACAGAAAAACACAAGCAGTTCGTCTCTTCCAGAAACCACCTCCCCGCCACGGCTTCAGGCAAGCCACTTCTAAGGACAGCGCAGGAGCGGTGACACAGGCTCAGAGGGAGCCCCGGCAGCATCCCCGTGTGTGCGTGTTGACTATAAAGTTAATATCAGATGATTTGCAGTGCATTACCTCAGTGTGAGGCCTTATCCTGATTTTGCGGACAGGAACAAGGGAGAGGGAAAAAAAAAAAAAAAAAAAGGACAAATACAGTAGGGCGACAGGAAGGCTTCCATAGTTTACTTGGATTCTGCTGCAAAGCAGCTGGCAGGTCTGGGTCAAGAGACTCAAAACCCCTCATATTTCAAATAATGACCAATTTCAGTGCTGGGAAACGCTCAATGCACAAGTGCATGCCATCTCCAGAAGGTGCGTGGGTTTGCAGTGGCAGCTCCCTGAGCAAAGCCCGGAGGGAGGAGAGGAGCCACCTCAGAAGGAAGAGTGGGCACGGAACAGACCCAGTTCTGTACAGAGCTGGCTTCATGGGCTGCCGAGCTAGGACACCGCCGCTTACCAGCAGCAGAGAAACTTGCTGGGACATCCACCACCTTATCCCTCTCCCACTTACTAATGTCAACAGCAAGCCTGCTGCTGACTGCTGCCAACTTTGGAGGGGGGCAGGGGGAGGAGGGGAATGAATAAAAGCAAATAAATAAATAAAATCAGAGACACTGCCCACAACAAACCCTGCTGCATCTTGGCCTCTGAACTCCCATGCTTCTTCAGGCTCCTACAGGCAAGAGGGGAAAAACGATGCCCAGGACACACAGGAGAAACTAAGAAGGTGCTTTCCCCCAAATGTTTCTCTGAAGGTCAAGAAATCTTAGGAGATACACTATCTTCTTCCTAAGAACATACTCATGCCTCTGGTTTAGTTAATTGCTCTTGGTCGAGGAGACACTCTCTTCTGAAGTCTTTATGAAAGGAAACACGATACAAGTCTCACATGCACCAGAGAGCTGGAAAATTAAAATGTTGACAGTTGGGATTTGGAGCAGAACCAACAGGCACAGCCACACGCTGGTCAGAGCTGGAGCCCTTCCTCTCTGTGCACCTCAAACCCAGACCTTTGGATGATCCCAGCAGGGACCAAGACACCTTATGGCACCCAAAACACAGCAGCAGTTTAATATAAACTGCTGCAGAAGTTCCCCAAAGTGAGCAAGGTGTTAAGCAGCCTTTTTCCCCCACTTTAGTCCTCTGATAAATCACAACACAAAAGTGTGTTTCCGTAAGATAGGCAAATTGGTTCCCTATTGCAGCGCATTCAGGATTTTTACTCTGTGCCACAGCAAAGTGCGAGAAGCCAAGTCAGATCAATATCTAGTGATTATTCACGTAAGCAAAGAGAGAGCTGCTATCTCAAAAACACAGTTCAGAAACGTATTATTCCTCTAGCAAAGTGTGACCATGCACAGTAAGTCACAGCACCCATTCAGTCATTGTGCTACTCTCCCAACTTCATTCAAAACCCAACTGCCACCCCAGCTGTGCTGCAAGGCAGCTGTTCGTTACCCCCCCCCCCCAAAAAAGAAACAAAAAAAAAAAAAGGAAAAATATCAGTAGTGAGGGTTACTGTGGCTGGTTTTGGAAATAAAGGGAAAACACAGCAGCTGTAAAATGAGAGCGCAGTGAGGGAGGTGAGCCCCGCTCCTGGCTCCTGTACTCCTTACCTTCATAGCAGGGCAAGAGCTTCCTCCCATTGGGCTGCAGGTTGGGGGGAATGATGTTGCAGAAACCATGGGGCAGGATGTATTCTGTCTCGTAGTAGATGTTTTTCCAGCGGTGCGCACAGGCCTAAACAGATCAAATCACATGTGTTATTGACCTGGAGTCACAGGAGAGCCCTCCAACCAAGGCAGAGCACGCATGAGCAGGACCTCTCAGCACCAACTTTCCCCCATGACCCCATTGTCCTCTCCTTACATCCCGCTCTTTCTAGATAAAGTATCTTCTCACTGTTATCTTCTGCAGCTCATGACACTGCCTGACCTGGCAGCTCAGATCTCAGCCTTCAGGTGTGCATGACTAGGAAAACAGCAGGTCTCAGAGCAAGACAGAGCCCATGCTGCTGATTTCAAGATCTCTCACTGTGTGTGAATCCTCATGGCCAGTAAAGCTTTTCTAACTACAGATGCACTAACAGAACCCAGCCAAGCCAGAAAAGGGGGAAAAAGACATTGAGAATACACATGAGAAGATCAGAACGGATGCTAAGACTCAGAAGGTTACTAAGACCATATTAGAAGGTTATCCCACCAGAGGATGCATATGCGAGTCAAAGGCTTGCCTCGCTGGGAAAGGCAGCTTCGTTTCTGGTAACGGAAGAGCCAGGCCTTGCTTACTAGTAATGAATTTAAGTGAAAATGCCAGAGATCTTGTGGCAGCACGAGTGGCAACATCAGTCAGGGTGCAGATGAGCTGCAGAGATCAGGGTGCCTTTCTATTCGTAGTGAAGAATAAGATCACCCTGCAAAACCAGACCTAAACCAGTCTCACCAAGACAGTTGCTCAGTACAACTGCCACACACAGGCCCACATACAAGCAATGCGAAGCCTGGTTCACACGTCCCCAGAACCCATTTGCTCCAAAAATTAACACTGCATTGCTGCCAGACAAAACCACAAGTTGCCTGATGCTCAGGGGTTACTTGGAATAAAAGGAAATGAAATGTGAAATAGCAAGGGCTTTGAACTTGAGCATGTGCTGGGCCATATCTCCAGCTGGTCTAAGTCACTGAAGTCAGCGTAGATGTGCCAATTTATATCATTTAAGGCTTGGTCCTATGCAAACAGAGCAGCCTCTATGCTACAAATCATCTCCTCCACATACTTTCAACTTTTCCTGGAAACTTTGCATCAGCCTCCTCCATGATCCCTACATTTGAGCCTATCCTCCCCAGACAAGACACCCTCTGTCTTCTTCCCTTTCTGCTACCCCACTTTTCTGCTTCAGCACCTCAGAGCTGCCCGTGGGAGCATCTCAGCATCATTAAAAAATATATCCATAAGACAGACACAGTTGTGTCACCTATCCAGCAAAGGACCTGGGAAGTGTATCAGCCACTGGGAAGCTCAAAATTCAATCCAGCAGTCAACACAGGCCCCTTCCCATATACTTAACCCCAGAAAGATGTAAAAGGGTAATACTACCTTTTTTTTTTTTTTTTTTTTTTTAAGTGAAACAAAGCAAAACCAGTTGTGCAAAAGCTTCCTCTGCTGTTAGCAGTGCTGCATTTGGAGTTTGATATTTACTGCTTTCCTAACTTCCAGTACTCAAGCAGAAGCACGTATCTCCTGAAGATGGCTATCGCAGAGGGATAACGAGGGACTCTGGGGGACATGGAAAGCTCCGCACCACACTGTGCGGCACAGGCTGCCACCTGTGACACGAAGGGTGCTTCTGATGGCACCCTGCTCGACAGCCGAATGCACGTGAGGAGTCCTGCACAGGGCAGCTTTGGGGACGCCCTTATGTGCTTTAAGGAAGCTCAGTTATGACTTTCATCCCCATGCACCACTCGTTCAAAATTCAACAGCAAGAAAAAACCACCACATGAAACACTCATTTTCAGAGTAACCAGGAAATAGTTTGTCTCCTGACGGATCTGTGCTGCGAGCACAAATATACACATGCACAGCCCTTTTAAAGACAGTACCATAAAGATACATACCATTAAAGCGACAGTCAAGTCAACCCCAACTCCGGATATAAACTCAAATGGAAACAGACCAAGAGTATTTTTTAAAATTATGGAAAGATAAATAAAGGATTGTGATATTGTAAATTCCTCAACATTTTATATCTCGGAAACTGTAAGGGACTCACATAAATTAACCTACTAATCTCTCCCAGAGGAAGTCGAAGAGAGCAGCAGCATTTCATCACGGGCAGGAGGCTTTGCTCCCGAGTGAGGTGCAGAGGCCAAGAAAGATAGAACAATATAAGGACAAAAAAAAAGGAGCTGCTGCATAAGTAGTACATTCAAAACCAACTGGAGGCTATGGGCTCGGTTTAGCAATTCTGGGCACACCTACCTAATCTATTAAGGTTTGGGTTTTGTTTGCATTTTTTTTTTTTTTAAATGTGATCACTTTTGTGTACCTTCAGCATGCTGTGTATTCAGGCACACTACAGTTTACCACTGACTGCCTGAGTCTGCGGACAGCTCGTAACAGTAGCTCCAAGAGATGAGCTCCACCTTGGTTATCTCAGCAGGGGCTTCCCCAGACTCCCCCACGCCACAGCTGCAGAATTTGACATTCTCCCAATGGACAGGAGTTCAGCAACTCCTCTTCCTCCCCAAAACTCATTTCTCTGCAGCCAGGCAACGAGCACATTTGTTTTCCTGCCACGGCAAAGCTTGTCCACAGCTGCTTTTGGTTCTCCTGCCTTCCCAAAAATGTTTAGTTGGATTACAGTATGCAGTCCCTGCATTATTAAACGTTGCTGCAGCAAGGTTACGTGCTACCAAAGGTGGCTACAACCTTCCTTCTTTGATGGCACATGTCAGAAGAGGTCCTGGGAACAGAGGTGAGTCACCTGAATTTGATGCTGTGGAGAGGGTTTTTCTGTGTGGATTTCTTTTTTTCCCCCCTAAGGTGATTGCAAACAACTGACAGCTTTTACAGCCTTTTTTAGATGTAAGCCATAGGTGGGCCCCTGTGCAAAGAGGAAGCCATCAGCATGCTTTGGTGCTCAGCAGCTGCTGCCAGGGCACAGGCTCCAGCTCTACCATGGAACAGGGGAGAAAGGATGCAAACCCTTGAAGCAAAATAAAATGCTTCTGGGCAAAGTGCACAGAGGTCTCTATTGATGGCAAACACTAAATTACTGCAATATAATGAATAGGCCATTTCAGAACAGCAGCCACTTCGCTCTTTAGCGTATTGAACACTAGCCATGGGCTTTGCACCATAGGAAAAGCAACACGAGAGACCCAGGCTTCACTTCAGAGGTCGAGTGCCCCACCTGAATGTACGGTCCTTATAGAGCCCTCTGCTGACTCCTAAAGTCAGAGTCCAAATAAGGGACTTTTTGAATGTGCCACTGTCAGACCACTTCTGGTTTGCTCTTCCGTAGGAGGACTTTGACTTTGCTGTAGTTATAGGGGTTTTTTTTGTGGGGGTTTTTGTTTGTTTGGTTTTGGGTTTTGGTTTGGTTTTTTGTTGTTTTTTTTTACAGACACACTGGCACATTTAGTGATTGTGTGTAAGTCAACTACTTAAAATGAAAAATAACAACACCATAAAAAACATAACGACAGATGTGGCAGATACTTAGGAAGAGCAAGACTGAAGCATGTGGCTTACCTTCAAATCATAACGCACTGTCCCCAGTTCCTCTCCCAACAAAAGTAAAAGGAGGACTTTTGCCATTTCAGTTTGGAAAGAGATGGCAATCTCAGCTGTATTATTGCAGCACTTAGATTAATGCAAATATTGACTGATAGCTTACCCAAGGACAGGAAGCCACTGAACTGCAAACTCAGAGCTTTTTTTAGCTAATCTTACTTCTTCATTTGTTTAAATCCTCATTGTCTGATGCCTTTCTATTTAGTCCATCACACAACCATTAAACTCTGGTTCAGTAACATCCTGGCACAATATGGGCTCGAACACAACCCACTTTACCAAACATCAGCTAAAGCCCCCCTGCACACTCCTCACCTTCCGTACTGCCCCTTTCCACTGAAGCTGGTACTCTTATCGGGCAATTGGGGAAGCCTGATAAGACAGAAATTTAAGCCACTAAACAGTTTCAAAGCAAAAGCAGCTACTACTTTGTACAATCCACAGCTAAACTGTGGGACTAATTCCTCTAACACAAGATGTCAAAAACATGAATAGTTCACATGGGTTTAAAAAGTGACTGCCCGTATTTATGCAAAAGAAAAATCCATCCAGGGCTATTGACCACAAAGATACCACTCCGATTTCAAGGAATCTCTTGAAGAGATGCAGTAAATAGAGCTGTAATGCTTGACAATATAAACTGCACATACTTGTAACTACTGGGTATTGCTCACAAGAGTTAGCTAGTAATTTTGTTAAAAAGCTAACATCAGCAGATGCACCTCCGAACACACAGACATGTCTTCTCAGAACACCAGTTTCTCACAAGTGCTTCAAAGATAACTGCATTTTGAGAAATCCTGATCTTTAAAACTAGAAGAGTACACGAATTAAATACCATCTGCCTATGGGAAAGTCCCGAATCTTTTTCATTAAAAAGGTATCTGAAAACAGAGAGTAGCAATGCCCTGAAACAGACAGGTATTTTCCATCCACGAAGCAATCCATATGCCTTCATTCTAGGCTTTGTCTACACACAGATGTTTAATTAGTAGTTTAAGACAGAGCACTTCGGTGGTAAATATCTCACTGAAATCAATGACAATTAGACATTTAAACATCCTCAAGCATCTGGACACCATCTACTTGGTGAGGGCAGTATAATCTTGTCAGAGAGTTGGTTTAGGACTTCTTTAAATCAGTGTAACTCGTGGAGACATTCTACCAGCTTAAGCCACACCGGAATAAGCCCACCACCAGCTGTGCATTTTACTTCAGCTACATTTTGCTTTTAACTTGCTTTATGTCTGAAATTTCTATCCCCTCAGCCCCAATCTAAGCCCTCACAGCCTGCCCACGTCTCTCACCCTTGTCGCCTCCCCTCAGCCAGCGAGCAGCCAGCCCCAGCCTCGGTAGTTGCCCAGCTTTTTTCTCCACCAGCTTTCCCTTCCTTTGCTACTTCTGTCTAGGGAGATGACACCTAAGCATCAGCTGCAACTCATTCCCCTTTGAACCAAAATACATGAAACCATTATTCTTAAGATAATTTTTACAAAAATGTCTCAGTGTTACCTAAAAAGAGGTGTATGCGCTAGCTTCTGAAAATGGGACAAGAATTTGTCTAGTTCAGACCAATGACTGGAAAATGGAGAGGATGCTGTGTCTCAAGATAGTGTTATATTGCTCAGTGCAAGTTACTCCTCAGCTGTCACACAGGACTCTGAGCACACATACAGATCAGGATATCCCTTGAAAACATTAATTGCTTATGCTAGCATTAATGCCTTCATTTTGTGCTCTGCTGTACATGTTTACAGTGTATTTTATTTATACCCCTCTTTCTCCCTCCTCCCCTAGTGCTGAACACATATAAAACATCCAAGAAAAGTAAAGCATCAGCCAGCCCCTATAGCACTGGCAAGCCCTACACCAAAAGGGACAATCGGATAAAATACCACAGTACCATTGCAGAAAGGTATAAAAACCACCTGCCCCCCCACGGGGATGTTGGTGTGCAAGGACTTGGGTGACAAGCATTTGGTCTCTAAGCACATATTAAGAATAATGCCTTTGAGTGAAGCAACTTTGGCCACGTGCCTTACACAGGTAGTTGGCACAGTAATCATTGTACGAGATCTTCCTCACTAGCAGCTTTGTGGCGGTTTGGTGCCATGTAGCACGGCAATCCCCTATCTCACTGGAAAGATGGGGTCATAATGCAACTTTCCAACTCCCAAACAGCGGTGTTTAGAATTAGATTGTTGTCAGGGTTACTCTGATACAAGCTTGAAATTTGCCTGCCACATATACTATGCACAACATTTTGTTGCAGGTTTTTTTTTTTTTTAATTTCAGTTAACATTCCTGCAGACAGATTCACTCAGGTAGACAGTCAGAACCCAACCGCGGATGTAAACACAGACAACTATTGATCATAATATACCCATGTATTTCAGAAAGGTTTTGGCCCAGCTCTCTGTATGATTATTTTTTTTCCAACACAGGAAATGTTGTTTCGCAAAGATAAATTCCACATCCTAAGGATCACATCTGCTCTCCTTGACCTGTCTATTTGCATGGTAATCATATCAAAGACAACAAGGCCACCCACACACAACTCTGTTGTCTACGTTCTCAACTCTTCTGCCTTGTTAATGGAAAATTAATATACATAAAGAAAAATATCGCCACAAAGACTCATCTTACATTTTTCATGGTAAGTTCTGACATGCAATACATACACTCAGGGAAAATGGATGCACATATATTCCCTACATAAACACAGGCAAATGACAAAAAGAACAGACTAGCAGGTACCTCCAGACAAAGTTTTATTTATTCTGCTCAAAGATTTAATCCCTCAGATTTAGGAGGAAGCCCTTGGGTGACACAAGTCAGGTGTGACGGCTTTGAAGTCGTCCCTCTATAAATAAAACTTTCTGGCTGGGGCTCACTTTTGCTTCCGCTTGAAGGAAGGGACTACAGAATTTGCTGCCTTTAAAGCTGGACTCTGTCAGTCACTGCTGAACACATTAATCCTGACGTGTTTAGCATTAGAGTCAGACAGCAGCAATGGTTTTAATGAGATCAAAGAAAAGAGTGGACTTACCAGCACACTTCCACCAGCCTTTGGCTGTCTAGCCAGGCTCACGCCCATCCATTCATCATCTCTGTCTTCTTTGCAGGTCTTTCCACAGAGCGTGCCCCGAGAATTGCCTACAGAAAGAGGGGAAACCCAGCAAGGCAAGGAGACATGAGTTTTAAATACCCACCAAAGAATCCCTACAAGAAAAGAGATTGCCCTCAAACGTCTGCCTGAGTGCTTTTCTTTTCCCTTTCATCCTGATCATTAGTTCTTGTATGCATTAATCAGGGTGATGCTCTCACTCTTACTAGGCATCATACAAATACATAGTAGAGGACAAACCCTGTCCCAAACAGCCAGCAGCTATTACAGCATGTCCACAGCTCTACTTGAATAGACCATCCAACGGAAGTCAATGGGAGATATGAGATATGTGAGAGTCACTGCAGAAGGCAATCAAAGCAAACATTACTCTTGAAAATGAGATCTGGGGCACATAAAAAAAAAAAAAAAAAAAAAAAGGCCTAAATCTGCAGTCCTGCCAGGCAGTATTCACAAATCCATGACAGACAGTTTTCATTACAGTAGCAGGACAAATCAAACTTAGCCAAAATACTATTTTAACACATGTAAGCTTCATAAAAATAAATTCTATTTGATTCAGTCAAGAAAAGATGAACAACACTAACATGCCTTTTTTTATAGGCAGAGAAAGCAGTAACACACGTCATCAAAAAAACCAAAATATTAAAAGGCTTCAATTTTCTCCATCAGAATCCAGCACAAGGTTTTAGATCAGAGCCTTACTTTAGGACTCCACCTTCCCCTGATTCTGACAGTATGTCAGAGAAACCAAAGTTGATACTGGTCACATGCAATAGCATACAAGCATGGCTCTCACTGAGAAACATATTCCTTTAGCACAAGAAGCAAAACCAAGGAATGATTTGCTACGTTACAAGGGAACCCACAGATCGCCACATTGCTCGTAACACTGCACGTCATGGGCCACCACTGCACCACCTGGGGTCATTCCATGCACCCTTATTCCAGCACTGCCTGGAGGAGGCAGCAGCGCTCCCAACCACTCACATACCCACCAAGACACTGCAAAGTCACACTGAAGCAGGTAGAGAAAAGACAGCGGCTTAGGGTAAGCAGGGAAAACCCCACCTTTGCCTGGGTACTCGCTAGAGAGAGCGAGCAGGGCCACTGGGAGGACAGCAGCACCAGGTGGGATGCTATTTCATAATGCTAAAGAGACTATGACACCTTTGCTGCCAGTGCTCAAAATCATAGAATCATAGAATGCTTTGGGTTGGAAGGGACCTTGAGAGATCATCGAGCCCAACCCCCCTGCAGTAAGCAGGGATTGGAACCTGTGAACTTGGCATTATTAGCACCATGCTCTAACCAACTGAGCTAATCTATCAGGAGAGGACGACGAATCCCTCCCAGTGTCTTGGGCCCTCTTTGAAGATGTCAGGAGGACTGATAGCCATTTGGAGTATGGGGTTTTTTTTGGTTCCCCTCTTCTCCCCTCCAAGCATCATAGCTACCTACCTCGACCCATATCCAGTTCTGTGCATCTTCTCTCAGGATTGGTATGGACTCGACATTTAAACACTGCTCCTGGGGACTGAACAGAGGTGCTGTATTTAGATTCTGCCTTGGGAGCACCAACCAAGACCCTGGAAACCAAAAGCAAATTAACAAGTGATTAATTTCAGGAGAAAAGAAAAAAATAATAAACAACAGCAAGGTTCACATTGCCAGAGCTTCCTCAGCAAAAGCACTTTCTCCCACAACCTTGTAAAATGATGACATTGACTCACAAACTGAAAACACCACACACAATAAAGGCATTTTTCCCCAGTGAAGCCACAAATACTTTAACAAGTTCAATTTCCATTAGGATTGTAACACATTTAAAGCACCACCACACACACCCCTTGAAAGCATTTAGGAAAGTATTAGGACAGACAACAGCAGCTGCATCCATTTTTCCTCAGTTTTAACTACATCCCTATCAATCCAAGAACCCACAAGAGCTAATACACCCATGAGAGGATGAAATCTGAACCTGCCAGCCACCCAAAGATTAATAAGTTTGTTTAGAAAGTTGAGGCACCCCATTCTCAGAACACTTTATGTAACTACAGCTTTAAAAAGCAACAACTAAAACACACAACCAACAACATAGGAGCAAATCTCTTCTACAATGTGTTGCTATTGGCCAACATTTATCACTAAGGCTGTAAAAACTGTACCTGGGCTGTTTATCCCACATGAGGGCTAGTGTCTCTGCGAAGCACCAATGCACAAGCTCTGACCACAGGGTTCCTTAATGTACCCTTGAAAGATGATGAGCATTTTTACATCACTTGTGCTACAATCCAGTTAACTGTTTAACAAGCTGGCAGCTGCTCGTGCCCTAAGAGACGCTTTTTGAGAAGGATTACAGGGGAAGCACAAGTATTAAGAGATCCCTTTTACTGCCTCCTCATGAAAGGGACAATCTTTCTCACCTGGCTGAGAGCCCAGATGTGGGCACATGAGGGTGAGGAGGGAGGTTAAGCAGGAGGAAGGCAGCTCCAGGGAGAGCGGTGGGGAGCACCAGGTAGTTTAGTATCAGTTCTGCCAATACCCTTGCACTGTGAGGCACAGCAGAGCTTCTGCACGTAACAAAATCCTCACTGAAGTTAAGCCCAGGGCCAGAACTAAGGGCGACCGTCTCTAAAAGACTGAGCCTCCAGCACTCGCGTGGATCCAGCCTGCTACTTGGGAGGCAGCAGCTGACCAAGGAAACACTGCTCTTGGTTTACCCACTAAAAGGATAAAGAGCTACTGGTGGATAGTCAGTCTGCATACATAGCCCACCCACAGCACAGACGCACAGCCCAGCACCAGCTTCAAAATGGAAGCTTTCCTTGTTTTAAACAACAACTTCTTCATCCTCTAATTTAAAGTTCCATCTCCAACGTGCACATGTCCAGGGTCAACCTGAGCCAACTGGAAGAGCTGCTCCTGCGTCAGAGTCTGGTCTATACCAAACAGCAGCACATCTCCACTCCTGCTGTGATACTCACTTCCCTGGATGCAACAAAACCATCCCATGGCATTTGGAAATACATTTAACAAAAGGAAGATAACCCCCTACATTAAGTGATCATTTTCTCCCAGGTTTCATGAGCTAAGCTGTATCATTTGGACAAGTTTGATGGGGCTGCACTCTACAACGCACATCATGTTTTCACAAGTGAGAAGAATTAATGTCCAAAATACTCAAGTTGCTAAAACCTACAAAGCCTGCACATATTGGGGAGTGAGTGCAAAGGAGCCTGAAATAATAGCTCCAAATGGAAATCCCACTAGGCAGGCGGCAGGCAGAAAATCAAATGCCAGTCATTTCATTTACACAGGCGATGAATGCATGTCATTCACTTATTGACATTCATGAGGTCTAACAAAAATAAATAAGGGGGGATATTACTAGCTTAAAGAGTTACGGATTCAAATTGCAAATGGCAAGAAACTGTTTCTATGACCTGTTATAACAATAAGTAATGTAGGCCACACTGACCTCCAGTTTAAAAGAAGCTTTGCTCTAACCTAAGAAAAGCAAATATGATTCAGCAATTAGTGCACTAGACACCTTGGGTTGCAGAATGCAAGACGGAGACAAAGAAGCCTAAATCACAAAGGCTCTTCAGCTCTCTTTAAAAAGCTGAACAGGAAAATTTGATAATTAATGGTTTGAGTAGGCTACTGGCACAGATAATATTGCTGCCTTGAGCAAATATACCTTTCAAAAAGAACACGTCTGTTGCCATTTCTTCATGTGGACTGAGCAGAAGGAAGCAGCCAGTAAAGGCAACTGGTGACATGTGCCAAAAGCAAATCTATTTTGGATTGTCCTGAATGTCCATACATTCAAATTTGATATTTTACCTACTTCGCACACTACGTCATCTTAGGATCCTGTCTCATTCTTTCACTCTTGCACCTAGACCCCAGCAGGTGAAACTTTTGCAGATCTGTTCCGCCTGGCATGACCCATGGTTGCCCGTGCCCTGAGACTGTAACCTTCAGGGAAATGGGAGGTTTTCTGTTGGTTCATGCTTTTTGGTTGGTCAAGTTGGTATTTGCCACATACCACTTCCTTCGGTTTTATTCAAAGACTTGAGACTGGAATATTTCCTTTGTCAAGAAAAGATACCTTTACTCTTTCATTTGTTTCTGTATGCAATAGCTTAACTGTTGGAAGAAAGTCACCTATTTAACTGTCATGAGACTTTTCAGCAGACCTGGATAGAAGACTCATTTGCATCCAAATATCTTGGGACTCATCAGGCAAAACAAATGCCTGTTTTGTATCTCCGCTCTGTATTAAAACACCTTTGAAATCTTTTGCAACTTCTAGGAAACAACAGTGCAACCAGAGAAGGTGTTTTTCTCTGGTACCATATCAAAACAGAAATACGTTTCAAAACAAAGCCTTAGAGTCTAATGCAGTCTTCTTGCATTTCAGTGCTGTAGAGTCGTGCCTGGCATAAACACAGAAGATACCTAAACAGCCAGCAGAAGTACAACCCTGTCCTCTTGCTATTATCAGGCAACCTTCCAACATATTCCAACTAGTTTAACCAGCTCTCATTTAAAAAAGCCTAATTTTATGGCACAGTTTTCCAGTGCTGCTATAGTACTACTTGGGTTGTCAGCAAGCAAGCACCAGCAGCTCTCCAGACTTTTGCCAAAAGGCTTATGACATGGGCAGTACCCTTTGCAGAGATTATTGATGGGTGCAGGTTCTCACCACAACCATAATACTCCGCAGGAAGCCCCTAGGATATTTGTGAGTAGCTACATGAAGATACCTTGAAGGGGAAACCCCATCAAGAGAAAGAGATTGCTTTCCATGGAAGAGAACCAAGGGCAGTAGGAGTTGGGTTTGGGGCCATTTTAGGGTCATTTTTGCTTGATGCACACAGAAATCTGTAAGAATCAGCCACATCCCACTGGCTCTGTGAACAAAGTATCGGGGTCTAAACCAACATGAGGAGCAGTAGGCAGAGAGGCCATTTAACCTTCTCTTCTTGCATTCATACTCACACGATCAAGGACAAATACCATCATCTGTATGGAGACACTATGCAGCTGCATGGCCAGAAGCCACCACATTGCAGGAGCTGCAGCAGCCAGTATTAATGGATGACAAGAAGCTTTCTTAGCCACAGGGAAATCCACACCTCCTTAAAATTACTTCCTGCAGAACAGTCACTATAACTTCACTGGTGATTGACCCTCAGGATATACAGATTTGGAAATTAAGTGCTGCATTTAGCAGAAGGAACAGTGAACGAAAGTGTCGAGCTGACCGATGGCATGGAGAGATGCCAAGCACATTAAGCATCAGCCTACAGCATGCCAACTGCGATTAGGCAATCACAGCTCAAGGACTGGGGAGTGTAGGTACCTCACCTCACTGCAATGTTAAGTGGCAGAGAAAAAAGTCTTTAAATATCCTCGCATACCACAGCTGATTTCAAAAGCAGCACCAGAGAAGGGTGCACCACCAGCATATCTCGGTTGAGTTGCTTCTCATCAGAAAGGTCTCTGTCACTTGCTAAGCCCTCAAAATAAAAAAAAAAAACCCTTCATCCATTATATGCAAAGCGAGAAGCAGGAGGGCTGTTATTTGGGTGGCAGATGGATGACCTCAGACCAACAACAGCAAGCCCAGGTTCCCCAAAACGCCATGGCAGCACCTACAGCATCATTACATAGTTTATTCAATATGGCATTGTTAACACAACACCCAGCCTCCACCAGGTCAGTCTGCTTCTGGGTCTTCCTTCTGGTTGCACGCAAGTACATCATGCGCTAACAACACGTACCCATCAGCCTGAGATGCAGAACAGCCTGCATTACTTTAGTGGCAGCACAATCCGGTGAAGAGCAGGGCCGAAGGAATGAAGCAACAGCACAGAAACCAGACTCATTCCCTATTGTAAAACTCACAGCAGGACACCATGCAACTAAACTGACTCCATTACTTTTGCGTGCCAGATCATGTTGCCAGAAAGGATAAAGTTGTTACCCTGGACTTGCTGAGGGATTTGGGGGTGTCAGCAAGAAGGGAGGGCATAGGGAAGGGAAAGGACAGAGATAAAGTAATATCTTATTAAAAAAAAGGAATGATCAGAGATGTCCCATTATTAACATCTTTTATTGGGGCAAAAATTGACATTTGTTTCTTTTTAAACTATCTGAAGGAAAGCAGAGAAAGCAACATTCCTGGTCATTTTTTGAGTCTTTATTCCAAGCTTCAAAATTATATTCAGAGAACAGAAGCACCTCAGCTTGTCTCTGCTCCAAACGCAAGCAGCCACCTGGTTCCTTACTTGGCTGAAAATGGCAATGACAGGGAACTGGGTAAACCTTTCAAGATTTACAGCCATAAAACCCGCTTAAGGAAGGAAAAGGAGACATTGTCAGAAATACAATAACCTGAGCACATCTGTGAAGACAAACTTTTCTTGAGATTAAAAACGCACAGAAACAACTCCTATATGGAAGCATCATTGCAACTAACTATTTCAGACAGGTCAAAGGCACTAACTTACTCCACTATTGTAATGGAGGCTGAATACCCATATTCCACTATAATTTCTGCGCCAAGGACTGCGTGGCAGCCTGACTATTCACATTTCTCTGATGTAATATTTCAAACCAAATATCCCCACCTTTCTTTCTTCCTTCAAGAATATTTGGCTCATATAAATCCTCAAGAGTCACCAAACCCTGAATCAGTTTACGGGAAACCTGCAGGCCTATGGTAGGTAATATAGACAAGTGTCTTCGTGGTGTTGGAAAACAAACAGCTGAAACACAGAAGACCTGGCCGTTACAGATACCATTTTGATATAAATCGGTGACTATATATATGTATATACAGATAGATATATGTGTATACACACACGTACGTACGCACACCCCAGCACGTGATCAGGCTGAGAATAACACACTTCATCTAAGAAGCTCTCATGATCAGAAGTACATTAGGTGAATATCAGGCCCTCAGGCAATAAAGAGCAAGAAGCCCTGAACTATCATGATGACAATACTCTCAAATGCTTGAGAGCATATTAAGACATTAAATAATTTTAGATAGGCAGGAGCCCTATCAGCCTCAGATATGATCAACCACATTTTTGCAGGCTCACATAGTGCACAGCTCACCAGGCAAGCCATGAATGCCCAGAATACCACTGTCTAAAGTTAACTTAG